TATACATGTTTAATCTGATAATAATATACATGTTTAATGTGGTGATAATATACATGTTTAATCTGATAATAATATACATGTTTAATGTGGTGGTAATATACGTTTAATCTGGTAATAATATACATGTTTAAACTGGTAATAATATACATGTTTAATCTGATAATAATATACATGTTTAATGTGGTGATAATATACAAGTTTAATGTGGTGATAATATACATGTTTAATCTGATAATAATATACATGTTTAATGTGGTGGTAATATACGTTTAATCTGGTAATAATATACATGTTTAATCTGGTAATAATATACATGTTAAATTTTGTGATAATATACATGTTTAATCTAGTTGACTACTACTAGTTTAAATCTGGCTCTTATACAAATATTAATATCTCAGGCAAACAAAACGTTTTATACCTATAAAAAATGGCTCCAATTGTCCACTTGGAGGAGATAAAAAAATTCAAAGCACAATAAAACAAAACAACTGCCACTGGATCATTGAAAAGACGGAGGACGTAAATTGAATGAATACGGTACGATGTGCAGCACATGAATATTAGAGCATAGGGAGGCACCTAGATATTAAAATTATAAAGAGTGAGTAAAAAAATACTTATTTTAATGCACAAAAGAAAACAAAAGGCCTTAAGTTTCTATCATCTGAAAAGCTTATCCACAAAATAAGGTGTTAATTTTTTATACTTAGCATGATTACAGTAACATGGATATTTTACACTTAACCTTAGCATGGTTACAGTAACACAAACATTTTACACTTAAACTTAGCATGGTTACAGTAACACAGATATTTTACACTTAACCTTAGCATGGTTACAGTAACACAAACATTTTACACTTAAACTTAGCATGGTTACAGTAACACAGATATTTTACACTTAAACTTAGCATGGTTACAGTAACATTCATATTTTACATTTAACCTTAGCATGGTTACAGTAACACAAACATTTTACACTTAAACTTAGCATGGTTACAGTAACATTCATATTTTACATTTAACCTTAGCATGGTTATAGTAACATACATA